GTTTCACCGTGGCCTGTGGTAAAACTAACCACGTCGATAAATCCCAGTGCGAACGACAGGAAGTTTACCCATTGGAATGTTACCCACAGTCTCGGTAAAAATTTCCCTATTTTAAATCCAGTGCGATTGCGGTTTAACACTCTTAGCCACTCTCTGTAGATTTAGTATCCAGTATCTCAAACGAACCCGGGCCACAGTTGACTGTACTCCACAATGACTTCTTTTGTGCGCATGTGTAACGTATAACTTCGAAAATCTATGGTATGCTGGCAATAGCGGCACTTCCTGTTTGTTGTAACTGAAATTAACGTATCTTTGGGCCCGAGCTCCCCCCACAATGACACCATCGTCTCGAACTCTTGGGGATAATTTAGCATACTGGTCATCAAATCGTTTTTTGTCATTCAAGAGTTTATCCATTATGGGTTTTTGACATTCAATAATCCAGAACAACTCTGCATCGTTAATTTCCTTTGCTGTTGGTGTAGCTACAGCACCAGAGAACGTTTTCCTTTTGTAAATGTTCATCACTCTTGCCGTGACCTGCAGGAGTCTAGTGTAGCTACTATATCGTTCGATATTGATCCTGTCGGCTAGTGTATCGACTTCTATAGCATCGGAAATCATCACAACTTTGACTCTCTCTGGGAGGTTGTTCTCAGAACAGCTCTGCTGTATTGGCCATTGCTCCACTGGATCTCGCAGAAAATCTGGTCCAAGCTGCCAGGTGCTGTCAACGCTGAGTTCAGAAGGTCGTTCGCCCCTGGTAATGAGATCAGCCACATTCAGTTCACCCTTGCACCACCACCAGTCTTGAGGGTTAGTTGCGGACTGTATCTACCCAATCCTTGTAGCTGCAAAAGTCTGAAAGCCGTAGCTTTGCTTCTGAATCATTGCTCTGACTATCTCACTATCAATTATATGGTATTCCCTCTCGAAGGATAACCTCATCTCTTTCTTAATGTAACATGTCAAGCGCTTATTAAGTACTGCTCCGCTCAGCTCCAATCTCACAATACTGATGATCTGTAATGGGGCTACCCTGTTCTTGCTAGCAATTAGTCGACAAGCATATCTACCGTCCTGGAGTAGGTACTGGCATATGCAACAGCGCCAAATGCTTGTTCAGACCCATCTGAGAATACCACGAGCGTCGGCCTTGTGTTTGGTTCTGCATCCTCTGGTTTAATACATCTGGGGAAGCAAATGCTGGCAATATCGGTTAATTCATTGAGGAACTGAAGCCACTGTTCTCTCATTGCATCTGGTAGGGTGTCGTCCCATCCCAACTTCTCACCCTATATCTTCCGGAGGAGTATTTTCCCTTTCACTGTGAACGGCGAGATCAAACCTAATGGGTCATAGATGCCATTAATACTGCTTAAACAAGATCTTTTTGTGAGAACCACTGGCGCTTCCAACTTTGTAGTGAATTTGAATACATCTTCATATGAGTCCCATGCGATTCCTAGGACTTTCTCGGTACCCTTCGCAATCAACTCCTTGTCTGTGATTTCGCCACCACTTCCTGCGATTACCCACTTCTTGACTGCAAAGTTTCCTGGTGCGATTAACTTGTCGATATCCTGCGAAAGACGCAACGCAGCTTCTCTTGACTCAACAGACTCCAGTATATCATCAACATAAACATTGCGCAGGATTGTGTCGGCAGCTTTATATAATTTATCCTTCCCTCGTTCGGCCGTTTTCCTCAAAGCTACTGTAGCTATTGTAGCAGAGGGCCGATCACCCATGTTAACCACAGTCATGCAAAAGGTCTTAGGTTCTTGTGTGACATTCATATTTCGCCATAGGAATCGGTGACAGTGTTGATCTCTTACTGTGGTGCTGATGCAGTGGTACATTTTACGGATGTCTGCCACAAGTGCTACTGAGTTTTCCCTAAATCGAATTAGCACTCCTAAAAGAACGTTTACCATGTCTGGGCCCTTAGCCCAGTAATTGTTAAGGATATGTCCTTGATAAGATGCGCTACTATTAAACACGATTCGCATGGGTGTGCTACTGCTGTCAGGCTTAATCACCGCATGGTGTGCAATGTAGTATATAGGCCCATCATAGCAATCCAGCTCCCCTTTTCCAATTTCCCTTGCAACATTTCGCTCTAGCATATCTCTTATTTGAGCGTCATATGCGTCAGCTTTCGCTGGGTCCTTTCTCAACCTGTGTTCTAGGGAATTCAGGGCAGCCAGTACAGCGTTTCGGTTGTCTGGTAGCTTGAATGGGTCTCTAATCCAGGGATACTCCACTTTCCAATATGAACCACAAAATGTAAGGTTTTTCTCTATCATCGCCAACTCTCTTTCCTCTTTCAATGTATACTCCTTGGCTCCCACCGGGCATCTACCACAACGACAACTGCCGCACTGTGGGTTGCACTGAACACCCATACCTTCTATCTTGAAGAAAGAGTCCAAATTACATGTTGTCATATGATGTATCAATGCGGCAGTACTGATCAACTTCGTAGTATTTTCTTTAAGGGTTGGATGGGATCCGCCCAAACGTCTTCCAAATCTATTTCCAGCACGAGTAGGTGCTCTACTGCTTGTAGCCTTGTCGAGTGATACCCGGCGTACTCGTACCCCATGAGCAAGTCGACATGGCCGGTTGGTCGTTCCATCTCTTCGATTTTGATGCCGCTGAACAAGCCCACTACATGCTGGACTGCTATGTGTTCTATATTGGACGTGATCTGCTCGATTCCATATGCATATACATTTACAATAAACCCTTGCTTATCTACTAGAGGTACAAGATAACGGAAGCTATCGACTTCCTCCGTCATTCCGCCAACTTTAGTGATGGCAATTTTTATGGGATCTCCTTTTAATCCTGCAGCCCTTGCCGATCTGTTGGTGATAAGGGACGATGTGGCGCAGCCATCAAAGAGGACGTTCATGTGTTTAGCTCCTACCCTTATTTTCATTAACTGCAAGAGACAGATTCCAGTTTGCTTTGAAGTAGCTACAGTATGGTTGTTAATTGTGGTTTCAGGCTGGATGATGTTGGAGTTTCCAAGAGTACCATCATGCAAAGTTAAGTGATGAAGTCGCGTTCACCCGAATACACCACATTGTCGTTTCTTTTGGCACTCAGCTACTCGATGACCCTTTGATAGACAACCAAAACAGGCGCCCTTTTCTCTTGCCAGCTGCGTTTTTTCTGCCAGCGACTTTGCCAGGTAAATCCGACATTCAGATGTGTTGTGCTGGCCTCCGTCGTGAATAAGGATGTGTATAAGAGACAGCTGGTAGGGTGTCGTCCCATCCCAACTTCTCACCCCATATCTTCCGGAGGAGTATTTTCCCTTTCACCGTGAACGGCGAGATCAAACCTAATGGGTCATAGATGCCATTAATACTGCTTAAACAAGATCTTTTTGTGAGAATCACTGGCGCTTCCAACTTTGTAGTGAATTTGAATACATCTTCATATGAGTCCCATGCGATTCCTAGGACTTTCTCGGTACCCTTCGCAATCAACTCCTTGTCTGTGATTTCGCCACCACTTCCTGCGATTACCCACTTCTTGACTGCAAAGTTTCCTGGTGCGATTAACTTGTCAATATCCTGCGAAAGACGCAACGCAGCTTCTCTTGACTCAACAGACTCCAGTATATCATCAACATAAACATTGCGCAGGATTGTGTCGGCAGCTTTATATAATTTATCCTTCCCTCGTTCGGCCGTTTTCCTCAAAGCTACTGTAGCTATTGTAGCAGAGGGCCGATCACCCATGTTAACCACAGTCATGCAAAAGGTCTTAGGTTTCTGGTGTGACATTCATATTTCGCCATAGGAATCGGTGACAGTGTTGATCTCTTACTGTGGTGCTGATGCAGTGGTACATTTTACGGATGTCTGCCACATCAATTTTACTAGATCACATTTCGCAGCTCTGACTGCCTCACCAGAATTTTCAATGGTCAACTGGCCTATTTGCTTGCAAAGTTGTTGAAAATCAGCATGTTGTATGCCTCGAACGCTTCTCGCTCTTGCCACTGAAGTTTGGGTGGGTTCTCTTTCGTTCTGCTCTTGTTCGGCCACCACCACATCCATATGCTGCTCGTTAATGCGGATTTTATGTTTGAGCATCAGCTCCCGTACTTCATCATATCTTGTTACCAGTAGAACAATCCATTCATCGTTCTCTTGCTCGTCATCTACCGAATGCAAAACTACTGCTTCATGCCGATTGTTGACGGCAGTCCAGGCTTCTTTCAGGTCGCAGCCGAGCATGTCCACATACTCTACCGACTTATTCTGCTCAACGGCCGCCTGAATAGAATTACAGATTCTTGTAAGCCTCCCCTTTGCAATGCCTCTCAATTTCTTATAGCCGGGTTCAGTCATATTTGATTCACTGGATTAAGTTAAAATCCTAAACAAATAAGTATTTATATCGTAGCTCACTTATCCTGTTCAGCACAGCTCTCAGCGTAGTCTCCTCAAGATTGGTATCACAACACATTCAGGGTTAGCGTTAACTTGAGAGTCAACCTGCTCTTCGATATCAGCTGACTTGCGGTTGCTGTCACTTCACTGTGCTCAGTAGAACATCAGTATTTCGAATGTAAAGAATACCCGTGTCACACGTTTAAACGTTTTCAAACATCCTTTAATCCACAACAGATAATCAAGGTTCACAATGTTCGAAATCTGCAAGATAACGATACAACTAATTACCATTCTATCAAATCAGCTATAACTATTAAAGAATCATCACTAGGCCCATATTAGTGTAATGTAATGTAGTGGGATTTGGTATAGCGCATTATACCGAAGTCTCAATGCGCTGGTGATGTGGACTAGGAACTCAATCAATGACTTTCTTCGCCCCTGAGGGTCCCTTCATGTCTGTGCTACCCGGTAACCCGGTACCAGCAACTCTCGTCGTCCACCACAGGGGCTGTCTGTTCCAGTACACCGGGGTATCCCCCTACTCGTCTCGAAGGATGTACTGGGTTCTTTATAGTGCACACGAGCCATTGT